TACTCAAAAACGTGTGATTCATATCACTAAATCGAACTGCTCTCAGTAACTGCATTTAATGACACTTTTGAATTTAGTGATATTTATTGATGCTCTTGTGGAATAAAAAGTGGAGAAAATAGCAGATATTACATTTTCTGATCATACTGTCAGTTTTTTATTTATTTAATATCAGTAAGTGAAATTTACAATGGCAACGATAAATCACAATTCTTACCATGATAAGAAGTGTTTCACCATAAATGATATATGATAATTGCCCAACCCTTGTTCCAACGTAACAAAACGTTCACAAGTTGTGAACAATCTTATAAGGCACTGTGTGTTTGAAATTAGAACTGGTCTGCTTGTAGCTAAAAGAAAAAATAAAACATTCAGTGTTCTGCTGGTGAGAGCAGCAGCTCAGTGTTGTAGCTCTTTGTGTTCAGAAAATAGTAAATAGAATAGATGCTACATTTGAGTATTGATTAGTAGCTTTAGATAATTGTACTGTCAGCTGTCAGGTTCAGGAGGTCTACAGCCTCAGCATTAGAATCCTGTCTGGATCTAAACGTCACCTGGGAGTCACACTTAAGCTAATATCCCCAGGTTGGGGGTGTGTGTTTACATGTGTGTGTCAGGGCATATGCTTGTGATTGAGCTCTGTTAACACGGTTACATAAGCCCTTCGTCCAGTACGTACTGTATCACCGAGTCCTGGTGTGGCACTGTCACTAACATTCACTTTAACATAAACAAGTTAAAGAGACTGAAAACCTTCACCGAACAGAGAAATTAGCACAATAACACACACAGACTTTAGCTCACAGAAGTTTTCTGACATCCATAAAACATCCATATGCAGCCGCAATTGCAAACAACCTCAACGATCACTGATCTTCAGATTTTGAACATGGACATCTGTCACAAAAATGTCTTTAATGACAAAACAAGGAACAGACTATAATCTTTAGTGAGGAAGCCTCTGCCTCTGCAGATCTGACAATCACACGTGGTGTACTGTAATCACTTGAAACACCAGCAGTCCTGGATTTTTGTAAAAAAAAAAAAAAGTCTGTTGCATGTGAGAAGCAACTTCTGCACCACAAAGACAAAAGTATTTAAAGTTCTCTGGCAGTTTATTAGTAATAACTGTATAATCAAATACTGTACATGGTATCTGTGTCTGCATTGATACAGACTCCCTCAGCTCAGCATGCTGAATGCTTGGAGAGCCTGATCGGGCAGGAATATTGGGCCTGTTTTCTGATTAATTTAGCTAATATTAATTTGGCCACATAGAGGCCCCCATAGAACGTGCTGTGAGCCCGGAACTTTCAGGCCAAGATGGTCATGAGTTTATTTTGTATAAAAGAAGTTGTTCCTTCCATCCATTTTCTTTACACCCTTGTCCCTTAGTGGGATTGGGAGGGTTGCTGGTGCCTATCTCCAGCTCTCCAGGCGAGAGGCGGGGTCACCCTGGACAGGTCACCAGTCTGTCGCAGGGCAACACGAAGTTGTTCTTTACACTAAAACAATCTGAAACAAATCCCAAACATTGTGGACTTTCCCACTACATCCATCAGTGAATGCCACAGATAAGCAGCAACTACATCTTAATCACCACATCGACACAGCAGAGCAGAAAACAAGAAGGTTGCACCCTGACAATGCAACTTACTTTGCTCATAATATGGTAAA